CAGAAGAAGCTTCTAAATCCTTGCCTCAAAGGATAGGCCTGGTTTCACCTTCTCCAGGATGAATCTGTTTGTTCTCCTAGCAGTCCATGGTATATACAGCACTTCTCATCAGCACCACAGCTCAAAGGCATCAATTCTCCTTCTATTATCCCTAGTCACTTCCCAGCTTTATGATTAATAGCAAGTAATTGCAAAGACCATGACATGTAGCAGGCACACCTTAATCTCTAGATTGATATCATTGCTCTTCAGTACTTGGAGATGTCCCTAACAGCCGACTCTCCCAATGCAATTCATCTTTTAACTTCCTGCTGCTGGTGCCAAGACTGTTGATTGTAGAGCCAAGCAAATTGATGCTATTAACAATCTCAAACTCTTCACTATCCATCATGATGCTGCCAATTGGCCCAGTGGTGACAATCTTTATTTTTTTTTATGTTGAGCTTCAATCCATATTGAAGGCTGCAGTCCTTGACTTCTGCAGCAAGTGTTTCAGATCCTCCTCAGTTTCAGCACCCAGGGTTGTGTCATCTGCATAACGCAGTTTGTTGATGAGTCTTCCTCCATTCCTGATGCCACACTTTTCCTCTTAGAGCCCAGCCTCTAGGATGATGTATTCTGTATATAGATTGAAAATGTGTGGACATAGGACACATCCCTAGCATATACACTTCCCATTTTTGAATCATGCAGCATTTCATTGCTCTGTTCTGAAGATTGCCTCCTGGTCCAAGTATATATTTCACATAAGTATGCTTAAGTGTTCTGGGATTCCCATTCTTCTCAGAGTTAGCCACGCCCAGCAATACCATGGAATAACAAAGTAGCTGATGTGCTTTTATTAAGACTATAACCAGATAAACACAATGGAAGGGGATCTGGTTGTCCTCGAGGGAGCTGCATTAACAAACCAGAAGCTATCCTTCTCCAGTGTTTTCCAGTCTACCAAAGGCCCTGCAGGAAGAAAATGTGCAAGCTCTTGTACAATTTCCAGCCTCAGAAATCGATGGAGGGTCAGGTGTGACCCAACTCCAACTCCCAACTCTATGGCAATGGGTTTGAGTTGTTTCTTCTCTTTTGAAAGCCTACAGAGCAGTCCTGTTCTGTAAAATGACTCAATAGCAACTAAAAGCAAAATGAAAACATGAAGCTACTTCTAAAAATTACCCTCTAAATATATTTACCATATACAATTCCCGTTTTCACATGTTTCATTACATGTCACATAATCTCATTCACTTCCCTTAATTTACAGCTCAATTTGAGGTCAAGCCAAATTTACATTTCCTTTAACATGTCTTACAATGTAAATCTGTACTGCAGTCACTTTTGTTTGCTATGAGGCTGAACACTGTCACACGGATGTGTCAAATGTGTTAATGGTTGGCTACAATGCGGACAGAGAGTGGGGTGGAGCTCCCCTATTGAACAAATGTGGAAGGAGGAGTGGCATCCACTTCCATAATAGCTTGCCTCCGGAAACCCTATGAACCTGGAGAGAGGAAGAAAGGCACCCAAGCATTGAGGACTCTCCTTCATAGGGTTGCTACGAGTCGCCTGCCACTCGACGGTACGTAACAACAACAACAATGTAAATCTATTTATTTTAAGTTCTTTTACTTTTGTTTTTATCAAAATCTCCTTTTATTTCATCATCTTCCTTGAAAGATCTTTTACTGTATATAAAATTTTGGTCCAGATCATTGTTTCCTTTGAGCATTCTAAAGTGTTCCACATCCTTCTATCTCTATTGTTACCAATGAGAAGTTAGAAATCATTTCAATTTTACTTCTCTTTAGTATTTCTTTTTTCTCATAGCTCTTAAATGTTCCATTTTTATACCCCTTTTTTATCAATTAGATATATTTCAGCCTCTCTGAGTAGAAAGATGGAATTGTCACCCACTGGTGTAAGCATCAAGAGTCAGACCTGTCTCATAAGTGACCGTCCATTGGATATCTGAGGCTGCCAATCACACAGGAGATTTTCTTTCTTTCTTCCTCAGAGCCACTGGTAGATCTGAACCACCAGAGAGACTCCACCTTTGGGTCAGCAGCGTGCCTCTCTGTGGACTATGCCACCAGAATTTCCACTGAAGTAGAGAAGACTATAAATGCAAGCAATTGCATATATAAATTTGGAGTGAAAGGAGAGTACCGGGCTAGAGATAGAAAAACAAAAGTGTGTTTTTTAAAAGTCAAATGCTCAATTAAATGTCTAAATAAAGTAACCAAATAGACACAAGAGACCTGAGGCAATGAAAAAAAAAAGAAAAACTGTAGAAGGGAAAATTATTTTTGAAGTGGATTAGAGGAGATAATTTATTATTACATAGTAAGAGTTGGCCTCGTTATACAAGTGTTCAGATCTTTCATTCATAGGGTTGCTATAAGTCATCTATGACTCGACGGCACTTAACAACAACAGCAACAATAACAAGGGTTGGCCTCAGGCAGGAGCAGCAAAATTCAGCCACAGAAACAGAGGGAAGGTAGATTATTTGGATTTAGATACAGATAGATGAGTTGATGTGGTAGTAGAAAGTAGGTATTTTTTGGAAAGGAGAAAAAGTATGAAATAGCCATCTAAAATATGAAAGAGTGAGCAGGCTAGAAACATTGAATAAGATTTCTAGGCAGTACTAAAGGCCTTGTTATGGCTTTAGGATTGTGATTTTTTTAAGGCAGATCAGTAAGGATGAGTTTATTTAAAGTATTGAGGCTCAATATTAAGAAAACAGTGATTCTCACCACTGGGCCAATTGGAAACATCATGATGAATGATGAAGAGATTGAGATTGTTAACAGCTTTAGTTTATATCTGGCTCCACAGTCAACACTCTTGGCATCAGCAGCCAGGAAATTGAAAGACCTATTGTGATGGGAAAGTCTGCTATTAGAGACCTCTCCCAAGTACTGAAGAGCAATAGTGTTACTCTAGACCAAGAGCAATAGTGTTACTCTAGACCAAGATGTGCCTGATCCAGACCATGGACTTTGCAATCACTTGCTAGGCATCAGAGAGCTGGACAATGACTACTGATGATAGAAGAAGAATTGATGCCTTTGAGCAGTGGTGCTGGAGAAGAGTATAGAATATATCATGGACTGCTAAGAGAATGTATAGGTTTGTCCTGGAGGGGGTTAAACTAGATTGCTCCTTGGAGGGAAGAATTCTGAAGCTTTGTCTGACATACTTTGGACATGCTGCAAGGAGGGACCTGTCCTTGGAGAGGGACCTCATGCTTGGGAAGGTGGAGGGACAGCACAGAAGGGGAAGACCCTCTATGGGGATAGGTGTGTCTGAGACAAGTGAGATTGGTTCAGGATAGACCAAGGTTAGGGCTGTTGTACATATGGTCGCTAAGAGTTTCAGACAAATCGATTTCACATAACAACAACAAGAAGGGATTTTCCTAGGATAATACAAAACCAAAGCAGGAAAATATAGTTGAGGCTGAAAGTGATTACCACTGCCAGTCAGAACTGAGTGAGGTAAAATGAAGTGAGGGAATGAGCTGGATGGGAGACAGTGAAAAGATAATGAAAGGGAAAAAAATTAGGGGAGATGGATAGGTCCAACAATGAAACATGGTTTAATCAGTGAACAATGGTGTTCATGGTTTCTATTTTAAAAATATTTGAAAAGATCATACAAAATTTTCTTTTGCTTTCGAAATGATTTGTAACAACCGTTGTGGTCAAAGATTATTGGAGTATGGATTCTGGAAAGAATGAGATTAAAAAATAAGGGGCTGAAGAACCGAAAATTATCTGATGGCATTTGCAAGCATGGAGAACTTGATAGTATTGGGTCCTAGGTATGAATATGTGGCTAAGTGACTGAGAAATGGTGGAGGAGATGTTTATTGGAGAAGATAAGGCAAAAGGACTAAGAGGCCAGCGCAGTGTAATGAGTATGGATGGTGTGGGAGGACATAGCAAGCGAGCCATCAGTTCGTATCTTCAAATGATTTAGGAAGGTGACTTGTTTTAAAGGAGAAAGGGATCTTCTGGAAATAGCATTAAGAAAGGTAGACCCCAGAGCACCCTACCCTTTATATCAAACCACTAACCTAGGGCAACACAGTGTGCCAGAAAAAAAGACCTTCCATTTGAGAGAACTCTTGGAGAAGTAGTGTTCTCAGCCTAGTGCAGCACGAAGGGGGTTCTATGAAGCATCGAAATGAACTGGTAACTTCACCTGAACATGAAATTGGACTCTCCACCTTCTAATACTGAAAGCAGTGGAAAAGGAGAGATGAGGGGCCTGACGAAAGGAGACATACAATCTTTTCAAAAGACTTTGTTGTATTCTTTTATTTAAAAATGTTCCATATATATCTATAACCATGTTTATATCCCTAGCAATTAGAACAATGGCAGGGGTAAAATCACAACATAATACATGTTTATGTGACTAAACTCATCTGACATGAGAGCTCACAATGGACCATATCTTTAAAGGCAATATTTGGAGACAAAAACCTTATTTTAAATCCTGATATAAGGCCTCATTAGAGATTTCTATCTTGATCTGAGTGTTGGATCTGAGAAGGTCTTTTCAAAAGTGAAGCTAATTGTAAAATTAGCTGTAGTGGTTCTTTTCCTACAGACATATTGTGCAGCTTGTTATAAGGCATTGAGATAGGTAATAGTTTTTAGAATTCACTTTCATTCTTTCATTTTGAAGAGGAAAACCTGCCATTTAAAAACAAGGCTAATTAAAGCTTTTCCACTATTTCATTATCTGAATGTAGTTGCAAATTCTGACTTAAAACTCTTATCAGAGGGAGACTCAACATTTGTCCCTTAACAGCAAATGAACATTCAATTAACACTTCAATACAAGAGTATTTTAAATAAAAATTTACTTTATTGTTAATCTCATTCTTTACAAATGCAAATACCCACATTTTTTAAATCCAAAGGGTTCTACCCTTTTATTCTCAAGAGAGGAGAGGAAAAAAAAAAAAACCCACCTCTTTTCTTTATTTACAGGGAAGACCTGAATTTTCTGAAGTTGTTAAGAAGTTAGAAGAGTGTCTCTGTAACATTGAGGTAAGACCCTTAACTTCTAAAATGTGTCCATAAAAAAGCCTGTCTATCCAAGGATGTCAGGAAATATGGTTAAAATGAGCCCTGTGGAAAGAAAATAAGTACATTTCTGAAGCTCCATTTATATTTAACCTTTATGAAATTCTTGGGATAGAGCAGAGTGGGTGCAGCTACAGAGGTAAAGACAAAATTCCGGAGTGAATTCGTGCTCTTCCTAAAAATCTAAAACCATAAAAACCAAAGCAATGTTGTGTCATTGATTTCAACTAGTAGTGACCCTCAATGGGTTTCTAAGATTGTCTTTGCTAAAGAACGTTGATTGTTTTTCTCTGAAGGAGTGGCTGGTGAGTTCCAACCAGTTCTCAACATCCCAACATATCACACACAGAAACAGAAAAACAAGTTCAACTTAAATAACTGTTGTTGTTAAGTAGCGTCCAGTAGGAACTGGCTCATAACTGACAACACCACAGATTTTCAGAGGCAATAATTCTTGAGGGAGGACACTGCTCATCTTCTGTGGAGTAGATAAGGGATTTGAATCAAGTACCTTTGGGATTGGAGCACAACTCCTTACCTCTAAGCCATGAGAGTTCAAGTACTTGAAATATGTGTTATTGTTGTGTGCCATCAACTTGAGTCGACTCATAGCTAACCCTCCAGTATGGTTTTAGAGGCAGTAAATTGCATTGAAGGAGGTTGCCTATCCTTCTCCCTCAGAGCAGCAGGTGGATTCCAGCTGTGTGCCTTCGGGATTGCAGCTCGACTTAGCACTGTTGCTGTTGTTGTGTCCCATTGAGTCAAAACTCACACATAACTGATCCTCCAAGTGGGTTTTCAGAGGCAGTAAACCACAGAGGAGGAGATTGTTCTTCATTGTTTACACACACACACACACACACACACACACACACACACACACACATTTTAAAGGAAAGAAGTGACTGAATATTGAGGATAAGTGTTTGGGAGACAATGAAGTTGATTCAACAAAGAGCAGAGTTCAGAGCTGTTGTACATAGGATTGCTATGAGTTGCAGGTGGCACAAAACAACAACAACAATAAAACTACCCCCCACACACACACACACCCTTCCCCCACGCCCATGAGTACAGGAAAGATTGGTAGCTCTAGTGGCCTAGTGCACAAGAAGTTAAGAAGTTGCACTGCCAACCTTAAAGCAGGTAGTTGGGATCCACCATTACCCCTGCAGGAAGATGAACAATCCTCTCCCTTGTAGTTTACAGCCTTGAAAACCTGCTAAAAGGTCAGCTATGAGTTGCTTTCAACTCAATGGCATGTAACAACAACAGTAGTGAAAGGTAAGCCAAAATGTCGGACTCCTGCCCATTTATATTCAAGAGGAAAGGGGAAAATTATTACCAAAATTAATGCCTAAATTGACTGGGAGGTGTTACTTTCACAGAATACACATGTTGCATAAAGTGATATATGTTGCTAATCAGGCTAATAGAATTTTCTCCCTTAATATCAAGGAGCTGTTGGCTTTAATTTTCTCCGTAATTGCCTTAATTTTCTATGCACCTGGTCTGGAGATAGCATGTGAAAGCAGGCAAGGGAGTTAAATATGAGCAGTAAATAAAAAATAATATATTCCCAAATGCCAAATACTATGGTCAGAGGGGGTAGACAAGACGTTTATATGGTTGGAGAAATCTGATATGAAGGGAAGGAACAAAAATGGCATGTATCACCCAGGGACTATACAACAGGTTCTCAAAGTGGGACCATTCAAAACAAAACAAAACAAACCAAAAATCTAACTAACTAGAAAAAGAGAAAAACAAAAAAACCAAACACTAAATATCCTTTTTGTTTGTTTGTTTAAAATGTCGCTGGAACTTAGCCAATTAAAAATAAAAATCTTTGCTATCCAGTCGATTCCAACTCATGGCAACTTTTCACTGATGGGTTTGGGGGTTATAAAGCTGCCATTTTTCCTCCATGGAAGGACTGATGAGTGACCGGCAATTTTTATTAACTGCTGCTTATCGTTTAACTTATCATTCCACCAGGGCTGCTAGAAGCCTTCCTAGACCCCTGTAAAAGAATGTCATGTCTGCTACCATGGGCTGTCTCATGACTTTAATAGAGCTAAAGAGAATGCATTTTATGTAGAATGAAGCTTCAGAATTCATATAGAAAGCCTCTTTTTACCTTCTTTTCCGTTTTGAAACCTATGCAGAGTAGGGGAAAGTAGTGGTATAGTTAGAAGAACTTCAGGAGCTTCTACCTTGGCGACAGCTTTTGCAGAGATTTTGGATGTAGAGAGAAGTCTTTGGGACTTGGTAAAAAGTAACTTTGACCTTTGAACCTTTGTTCTTGACCAAACAAAGGTTCTCCTACACTGGATATGAAACTAGTTAGATCAGTAGTTGGATTCCAGAAACAAGGACAATGGTGGAATTGATAAACTTTCCTGTATTATATTGATGAGATTGCCTGGTGCAGTCTTTACCAAGTGAGAAAGATGAACACCAAAATGGACTCTTTCAAAGAGAGGTTGCGGCCATCTCGAGGCGCCGCCGCAGCACCCACTGGAGCCGCGATGCCTAAAGGAGGGAGGAAAGGTGGCCATAAAGGCCGGGCACGGCAGTACACGAGCCCAGAGGAGATCGACGCGCAGCTGCAG